TGCTTTGAATCTCTGCTTGTGAAAATTGTTTTTGGGTTTTAACTCAAAAGGTCTCTTATTGTTGTTCAGTGTTAAGCTTAATGAATTGGGTTCTATGGAGCTTTGTTATTGTTCTTGGTGGTGGGTTGTTACTTTCAGAGGGGGCTTCTAGTTCTAGGCCTCCTGTTATTAAAGTTGGTGCTATATTTGGTTTAAACACCATGTACGGTGAAACTGCGAATATCGCCTTTAAAGCTGCTGAGGAAGATGTCAATTCCGATCCTAGCTTCCTCGGTGGATCGAAATTGCAGATTTTGATGAATGATGCTAAACGCAGTGGATTCCTCAGCATCATGGGAGGTTCAAGAAGACTGAAAAATCCTATCTTGTTTCATTGTATCCATTTTCTTGATTGCTTTTTGGATGGATACTTACTTCACTTTATCCTTTGTTGTTGCAGCATTGCAATTCATGGAGACTAATGCAGTGGCTATAATCGGTCCACAGACATCAATAATGGCTCATGTGTTGTCTCATCTTGCCAATGAGCTTACTGTTCCGATGTTGTCATTTACGGCTCTTGATCCTACCCTGTCTCCACTCCAATTCCCATTCTTTGTCCAAACAGCACCTAGTGATCTGTTTCTGATGCGCGCCATTGCAGAGATGATTACATACTATGGTTGGTCAGATGTGGTGGCATTATATAACGATGATGATAACAGCAGAAATGGCGTTACAGCGTTAGGCGATGAGCTTGAAGAGAGGCGTTGCAGGATTTCTTACAAGGCTGTACTTCCGTTGGATGTTGTGATTACTAGTCCAGTTGAGATTATAGAGGAGTTGATTAAGATCCGGGGAATGGAATCTCGGGTTATCATTGTGAACACTTTCCCAAATACAGGCAAGATGATCTTTAAGGAAGCAGAAAGATTAGGGATGATGGAGAAAGGCTATGTTTGGATAGCTACAACTTGGTTGTCTTCTCTGCTAGATTCAAATTTGCCTTTGGATACCAAATTACTCAATGGAGTTCTAACACTGCGTCTTCATACGCCAGAATCGAGAAAGAAGAGAGACTTTGCAGCACGGTGGAAGAACAAGTTGAGTAATAATAAGACTATTGGGTTGAATGTCTATGGTCTGTATGCTTATGATACTGTCTGGATCATTGCTCGAGCCATTAAGACACTTCTGGAAGCTGGAGGTAATCTTTCCTTCTCCAATGATGCAAAGTTAGGCAGCTTGAAAGGTGAGGCATTGAATCTAAGTGCATTAAGCAGATTTGATCAAGGATCACAACTTCTTGATTATATTGTGCATACAAAGATGTCCGGTCTAACTGGTCCGGTTCAATTTCATCCAGACAGATCAATGCTACATCCTTCATATGATATTATCAATTTGGTTGATGACAGGATTAACCAAATAGGTTACTGGTCTAACTATTCTGGTCTTTCTATTGTACCGCCTGAATCATTTTACAGCAAACCTCCTAACCATTCTAGTTCAAACCAACATCTGAACTCTGTAACTTGGCCTGGTGGGACTTCAATTACACCTCGCGGATGGGTTTTTCGTAACAATGGAAGGCGGTTGAGAATCGGTGTTCCTGATAGAGCAAGCTTCAAGGACTTTGTCTCAAGAGTCAATGGAAGTAGCAACAAAGTACACGGATATTGCATTGATGTATTTGAAGCTGCGGTGAAACTGCTTTCTTATCCGGTTCCTCACGAGTTCATCTTTTTCGGAGATGGTCTAACGAATCCAAACTACAATGAGCTGGTCAACAAGGTCACTACTGGGGTGGACTTTGATGCTGTTGTAGGCGACATAGCCATTGTCACCAAGCGGACCAAGATTGTGGATTTCACCCAGCCATACATTGAGTCAGGCCTCGTCGTTGTTGCTCCTGTCACAAGACTTAACGAAAATCCTTGGGCCTTTTTACGCCCGTTTACTCTTCCTATGTGGGCAGTAACAGCATCTTTTTTCGTTATTGTTGGAGCTGCAATATGGATTCTTGAACACCGTATAAATGATGAGTTTCGTGGTCCGCCAAGAAGACAAATCATTACCATTCTCTGGTTAGTACACAAGAGTCATCTTATTTGTCTGCATAAAATGAAGGTTACTATAGCTAATGCAAGCTTTAATTGTTTATTACGATGCAGGTTCACCTTTTCGACGATGTTTTTCTCCCACAGTAAGTCTCAAAAACGCTCAAGCCAATTACTGCAATTTTCTGTGTGAAGTTCTTAACATCTTTATGAAATCAAACTCTCAGGAGAGACTACAGTGAGCACGCTTGGTCGTATGGTGCTTCTAATATGGCTTTTTGTGGTTCTGATCATTACATCTAGCTACACAGCGAGTCTTACATCGATACTTACAGTGCAACAGCTCAATTCACCTATAAAAGGAGTAGATACACTCATCAGTAGCAGTGGTCGTATTGGCTTCCAGGTTGGTTCTTTTGCTGAAAACTACATGACCGATGAGCTTAACATTGCCGGATCCAGACTTGTGCCTCTCGCCTCTCCTGAGGAATATGCTAATGCACTTCAAAATGGCACTGTTGCTGCAATTGTTGATGAACGTCCTTATATTGATCTCTTCCTTTCAAATTACTGTAAGTTTGCCATCAGAGGCCAAGAATTCACCAGATGCGGTTGGGGATTTGTGAGTCATCCTTACGAATTTTTTCTCTCTTTACCAGCATGTTTAAACATAATCCTGATCACATTTTTGCATTCTCTGTTAAAAAAAAGGCATTCCCGAGAGACTCTCCTTTAGCAGTTGACATGTCAACCGCGATTCTTGGGCTATCCGAAACTGGCGAACTTCAGAAGATCCATGACAAATGGCTGTCGAAATCTAACTGCAGCAGCCCGCACGGGTCTCAGTCAGGTGACTCAGAACAGCTCAACGTGCATAGCTTCTGGGGCATGTTCCTTGTGGTTGGGATAGCCTGTCTCGTTGCTCTCTTTATCCACTTCTTCAAAATAGTCCGTGACTTCTGCAAACACACACCTGAAGTAGAAGAAGAAGAAGCTATACCTTCACCAAAATCTTCACGTTTAACAAAGCTACAGACTTTTCTAGCATTTGTTGATGAGAAAGAAGAAGAAACAAAGCGAAGGTTCAAGCGCAAAAGAAACAACGATCTTTCTATGAATGCGAATAGCATTATCTCGAGGAGTGCATCTAGAAGACCTATATGAAGAAAACAGGATACTATCCTTATGATTTTGTTCATTTGTACATTTCAACACACCTCATTTGCAACCAAAATGAGATTTTGTTTAGATGCAGACTTGTTATATACACCATTTACAATCATCTAATGTCTAAACTAAAGCCATAAGAGCCAAACTGAAGTGGACAAGCTTCTCGGTTCGGTTCAATTCGGTTTGTGCTTAAACCGTTGATTATCACAGGTCACTCCACTTTTAAAAGTAATCAGCTTTACTGGAGAAAACATTAGGTTAGGTGGTCACGTTTGTTCATCTCTCTCTTTATATATCTGTTTAAAGTCTTCGTCTTTGTTCACTTGCTTTTGTGATCTCATTACTGTTCTTTAATGGCGAGTCTCTGTTTCCAATCTCCTTCCAAACCCATTTCCTATTTCCAACCCAAATCCAATCCATCGCCTCCGTTATTCGCGAAAGTCTCCGTCTTTCGATGCAGAGCTTCTGTACAAACCCTCGTCGCCGTTGAGCCGGAGCCAGTTTTTGTCTCCGTCAAGACTTTTGCTCCAGCCACCGTTGCTAATTTGGGACCAGGGTTTGATTTCTTAGGATGTGCCGTCGATGGTCTCGGTGACCATGTGACTCTCCGTGTAGATCCCTCTGTTCGTGCCGGTGAGATTTCAATCTCGGAGATCACCGGAACCACAACAAAACTCAGCACAAATCCTCTCCGGAACTGCGCCGGAATCGCCGCCATTGCTACGATGAAGATGTTAGGGATTAGATCGGTTGGTTTGTCTTTAGATTTGCACAAAGGCTTACCTTTAGGTAGCGGTTTAGGTTCTAGTGCAGCTAGCGCCGCCGCAGCTGCTGTGGCGGTTAATGAGATCTTTGGCCGGAAATTAGGGAATGATCAATTGGTTTTAGCCGGTTTAGAATCGGAGGCGAAAGTTTCCGGTTATCATGCTGATAATATCGCACCAGCGATCATGGGTGGATTCGTTTTGATTCGAAACTACGAACCGCTTGATTTGAAACCACTGAGGTTCCCATCGGATAAAGATCTCTTCTTTGTTCTAGTGAGCCCTGAGTTTGAAGCTCCAACTAAGAAAATGAGAGCTGCATTGCCTACAGAGATTCCAATGGTTCACCATGTTTGGAACAGTAGTCAAGCGGCTGCTTTAGTCGCTGCGGTGTTAGAAGGAGACGCGGTAATGCTTGGGAAGGCGTTGTCGTCGGATAAGATTGTGGAGCCGACTAGAGCGCCTTTGATTCCGGGTATGGAAGCTGTGAAGAAGGCGGCTTTAGAAGCTGGAGCGTTTGGATGTACGATTAGCGGAGCTGGACCAACAGCGGTTGCGGTGATTGATTCAGAGGAGAAGGGTCAAGTGATTGGAGAGAAGATGGTGGAAGCGTTTTTGAAAGTTGGTCATTTGAAATCTGTTGCATCTGTGAAGAAGCTTGATAAGGTTGGTGCTAGGCTTGTCAACAGCATCTCGAGGTGATCTTCTTGTGATGTTTTGATTATGCTGAGATTGGAACAAATCTTCCTATGTACTGTAATTTCTAGATGATAATAAAGATGTTTGTTTCTACACAAATAAAGGACAATGTTCTCTGAGTTTTGTTTAGTCTCTTTTTAGCACACTGCCTTTGGTTTCTTGAGTATCACAGTATCACTCTCCAAATCAGTAGCAAAATTGAGTTTCTTTCAATCTTATCAAGCTACCAATTTTAGTCACTGATTAGTGGAGCAAACCTTATAGTTGAGAGCCCAAACTCTAAGGCCCATGAAAGCCCAATTAGAAAAAAGAGAACTCATACATAATTCCGGTAACGGCAACGAATCTATCCGCCGGCATGAAACCTAAATTGAAATTACAATTTCCCTTAAAGATTCGTTTTTTCCGCCAACCTTCCCGAAAGCTTGGGACTTTATTTGTAGAAAAAGTAAAAGAGAGCCTTTGTGTTTATTTCTGAGCCTTGTCTTTGTCCGTGAGACGTGGACGAGCGATCTCCATCAGAAAATGAGAACCCTTCCACGTACACTCTTTGCCTTTTCTTCTATAGCTTCCTTGTGACGTGTTTCTTCGTTTCTGGGTTTTGGGTTTACCAGAGAAAAAGCCAAAGAACAACTTTTGTTCTGAGAGATTACGATTAGGGTTTATCAAGGATTTTGAAACGATTTTGGTAAGAAGATGACAAGAGTCAAGAGTAAACTAGACGATGAATTGTCGTCTCCTTGGTTTTATACTGTTTGCACCATGGGAGGAATGCTTAGTGCTGGAACAACCCATTTAGCTATAACTCCTCTTGATGTCCTCAAAGTCAATATGCAGGTTTGTGTTTCGTTTCTCTGCTTCTTGATGTCATCTTTGATGCTTCAAATCTCTAATCTCTTCTAGTTAGGGATGTATAATGATGGATATAGCTGCTAAATTTAGGATCTTTTGCTCTTCTCTGTGCTTAAATTGGAATCATTATGATTGATCAGTCAATGAGGATCGATCATTCTCTCTTGTAGGTGAATCCAGTGAAGTACAATAGCATTCCTTCCGGTTTCTCTACTCTCTTAAGAGAGCATGGCCATTCCTATCTTTGGAGAGGTTGGTCAGGGAAGCTTTTAGGTTATGGTGTTCAAGGTGGATGCAGATTCGGACTCTATGAGTACTTCAAGACACTCTACAGCAATGTGTTACCTAATCATAACAGAACTTCCATATATTTTCTCAGCAGCGCTTCTGCTCAGATATTCGCCGATATGGCTTTATGTCCTTTTGAAGCCATAAAAGTTAGAGTTCAGACGCAGCCCATGTTTGCAAAAGGGTTGCTTGATGGATTTCCAAGAGTGTATAGAAGTGAAGGTCTTGCTGGGTAAGCCTTTTTTCAGAACCATTCTGCTTGGCTGTCTCACTTTGCGTTTGTTTTTGAGTCTTTTTATCTCTACAAATGCAGCTTCCACAGGGGACTTTTTCCGCTCTGGTGTCGCAATCTTCCATGTAATATTACTGCTTCACGCAATACCTGTTTTCACTAAATCAATTTGAACACTCTGCATCATTTTGATCTTAATCTGTTTGTAAACTTGGTTGTTACCAAAACCATATCTTGTTGATTATATCTTCTATGTGATTTCAGTTTCTATGGTGATGTTCTCAACGTTTGAGCAGTCAGTTGAGTTTATATATCAAAATATTATCCAGAAAAGGAAGCAAGATTGCTCTAAAGCTCAACAACTTGGTGTCACATGTCTTGCTGGCTATACTGCTGGAGCCGTAGGTACAGTCGTCTCTAACCCCGCAGATGTGGTTCTTTCATCTCTCTACAACAACAAAGCCAAGAGTGTGTTGCAGGTAGATTCTTAACCATCATAAACATTCAATCTTTGAATTCATTTCACATATCATCAAAGCAAAGTATTCTTGATTGATGTTGGTTATTTGCTTGAGCTTCAGGCTGTGAGGAATATTGGGTTTGTTGGTCTTTTCACCAGAAGTCTTCCTGTTCGGATCACGATTGTTGGACCTGTCATTACCTTGCAATGGTTCTTCTACGATGCTATCAAAGTCTTAAGCGGATTGTAAGTAGACATCACTCCAAATTTCCATATCAGAAACTCTAATATTTCTGCTCCAAATTCTCACCTAACCAGCTTGATTATACAATTGTGAAAAATATAGCCCTACAAGTGGAGGAGTGAAGAAACCAGTGGATGCAACTAAATTATCAGTGTGAAGCTTAGCAGAGTAGATCAATCTCTATCAACAATAAAACCAGGAACTCAAAACATACTGTCATGTAAGATTCTCTCGCGAGTAAATACCGAGGCGTTGTGTAGTGGTTGGAAGGAACATTTTGATCTTTTTTGTTTTATGCGCAAATGCATTTGCTCAACCCCTGCCTAAAATTGGATTGTAAGTAAAGTGCTAATGAGTGATATTGCTGTAAACAGAAACTATGATCTTTAACTGATTGATGTCAAAGGAAGTGTCTGGTTTTTATCTTTGTTATGTTCTGAACCAATTTGTCTTAAGTAGAGAAGACTGAGATTTTGCTGTTTTTAGATTGTTTATAGCTTCATCCAAGTACCAAGTACTTGGTTTTAGGCTTTTAGCTGATTATGATCGGAGCATCAGCTAATTTTTATAGAAATAAAGAATTTTTTTTTTTCCAAATTAGTAACCCTAATTTTTAAAGCTTATTGGACGGCATATGTCCAGATGGGTTCGGCCCATTTGTTTGTGGACTAAATGGCTTCTAGCCCATATTGACCGCTTCGAATTTGGGCGAATTTGGGAATGACCAAATCCGGACCATTATAATTTGGAATGGTCTTGCCCATGGTCACGAAGCCCATTTGACATCCCTACATCCAAGTACCATAAAGGAATCATAAAGGAATCTCTCCACTGTAACAGTTATCACGTTCACATAACTTTCTTAAAAGTAGAAACATTCACCTTTCATTTCTCTAACATGGGTTCATTGCATCTTAACTAGGGTTAAACCCTCAAACTTATCTTTCCACTGTTCTAGGATTCTTTACTTTTTTCTTGTCTTCCTTAGTAAGCAGGTAAAGCTTTTTATTGCTACATTTGATTGACTTACTACTACTCTCTTAGATTGGCTGATTAACATTCCATTTTTGCTCTTAGTTTCATCAGTTTTCTTTCTTGGCAATGGATGTTTTGTTGTCATGAGTTTGTTATACTCTTCTTGACTATGTTATAAATGATCGAGTCTTTTTGCCAACTAAATTCCTTAGTGTTTTGGTACTATGTACATACAACAAGTATAAGCAAACAAAAAAAAACATACAATTATGATACCATGTGAAAAAAAAAAACAAAAGTGAGTTAAGTCGGCCGTGAAATACCTCTTATTGGACCAATGAAGTGACGGATCTATGGGCCTGTTTTAAGGCCCCTTTCTCTATCTCACACGTCTCTTTTTATTTTTTCAAAACAAATAAAATAATAATATTCGATTAGAGTGTGGCATATCCGGCGGTTTATTAGGATCTCTCATCTTCCCTAAACACCTGATTTCGCAAACTTTTTGCTTCTTCTTAGTTTCTCCTGTGGTCTATGAGATTCTGATCTTGTTGTAGCTATGGACGAAAGCATAGGTCTTTACCCTCTTCATCGTTGCAAAACCATTCACCTGGTGCGTTCCGTACAAACCGGTTCATCTGTGTGGTTCTTATTCTCTCTCTCTCTCTCTCTCTGTCTCTCTCCCAAGTTTCTTGACGGGTTTTGTTTTGTTTTAGGTGAGACATGCTCAAGGGATTCATAATGTAGCTGGTGAAAAAGATCACAGTGCTTACTCTTCTGAGGATTACTTTGATGCTCATCTTACCCCTCTTGGTTGGCAACAGGTATATCTCTAATCTCTGTTCTGTTCTCCATCTTATTGAACGATCTTGTTGTCATCATCTCTTTATGGCACAGGTTGATAATCTACGGAACCATGTTCTAGCTATTCAACTCTTGAACAAGGTTGAACTTGTCATTGTTTCACCTTTGCTTAGGTAAAAACGTTTCACAATCTTAAAAAAAGAAGAAGATTAGAAGCTCTGCTCTTGTGCTTTTTGGTTATTTAGAAAACTGAAATAAATATAAAGACTCAGTTCTTATGATTTGTTTCAAAATGTAGAACTATTCAAACAGCTGTTGGTGCTTTTGGAGGTGAAGAAGATACTAATGGAGGGGATGCAACACCGTTAATGGTGGCTAATGCTGGGAACAGCGATCGTCCTGCGATTTCAAGCTTAAATAGCCCGCCTTTCCTTGCTGTTGAGCTTTGCAGGGAAACTATGGTACATATGTAATTAAGGATTGTGTTGGTATATATAGATGAGTGAGGATCAAATTGTTAAAGATTGTTTATTTATGAACGTAGGGGGATCATCCTTGTGACAGGCGAAGAAGCGCCACTGAGTACAAGGCTCTTTTTCCCGCAATCGATTTCTCCATTGTAAATAAAACATCTTATTTGCGGTTAATATCTATCTCTGCGGAAGTGTTGGAGAGTTGCTTATGCTAGTTTTATCTATGGTTTTAGATTGAAACCGACAAGGATGTTTTGTGGAAGCCGAGTCCAAGAGAGAGCCTTGAAGAAGTAGCAGCCAGAGGTGTAGAGTTCATCAAATGGTGAGTTTCATTTTTGTTACTAATTTTCCAATAGAGATATGTAAACAAATGTATAGCTGAATCTCTCTACTGCCATTTGCTTTGTGAAGGATATGGACTAGGAAAGAGAAGGAGATCGCAATTGTATCTCACAGCGGCTTCTTGCACGGTCTCTTGAGTTCTTTCGGGAAGGATTGTTGCGATGACCTAAAGAAAGAGCTGTCTATACAGTAAGAGCTTAAACACAAACTTGCTGTCCACAAGCATCAACCTTTTGTATAACTTCAAGAATGCAGAAACTGTTTAACTAATCAACATCTTTAACTTTGTTCAGTTTCAGCAACTGTGAGCTTCGCTCAATGGTCATTGTGGATCGAGGGTAAGCAAAAAATGGCAGTAAGTTCTGACGTAATAAATATATAAGATTTGTGAGTGTGTTAGCTCATATTGGTGTTGGGTGTGTAGGAACCTGGGGACTGATTCTGCAGAGACCACAAACTATCCTGGAAAGCTTCCTCAAGGACTTGATAATCCAAGTGGCTAAATGGCTGAAGAGTAAGAGAGAGCACAAGTTTCTAAGAGTGTTTTTTCCTTATAAAAGAATAAATTACATGATGCTTCCATTGGACTAGAATTTGGAATTTTCAGTGATTGATGCACATTAGTGAAATTTGGTATGTAGTAGCCTAGTAGGATGACTCAATGAATTTACTGTATGATTGGTACTACCCAAACAAAATTTAGCGGTAGCTTTAATCTTTCTGCTCCAATTCTCTCATCTTAGCAGTGATTATACAATTGTGAAAATAATAGCCTTACAAGTGGAGGAACTAGTAGATGCAACTAGATTATAAGTGTGAATCTTAGATAAGTAGATATATCTCTATCAACATCAGAACCAGAAACTTAAAACATATTATTATGTATGTAGTCATGTAGATACCGAGTGTTGTGAGCATCGTGTAGCGGATGGAATGAGTGTTTCGATGTTTTTGCTTCGCGTACAGCCAAGTGTTAGGTTATCTTTGTTATGTTGTCGTCTTGTCGACCATCTTGTTTGAGAAGAGAAGACTGAGATTTTATTGTTCTTATTAGATTGCTCAAAAGCTACAGGTTCAGGTTTGTAATCGTTATTAATCCAAAAAGAAAATCGTAAATAACTAAAATTGTGATGTCAAAAAGAAAAAAAAAAGTACAAAACTAAATTTGTACCACGTGCGAGACAAATTTGTTGTCTGCGATCTTAGAGCAACCACAGTGATTAGTAAGTAAGGTTTCTATGTATTTTTTATTAATAAATTTTGATAGTTTTGTAGTTTAGAGATTTTGTAGAGTTTTTGAAAATTTATGGTCCATTGGTGGAATCCTTAAATGGGTTTCTAAAAAATAAAATAAATTTTTTAAAAAATATTTGTTAATATTTTTATTTGAACAAACATGATTATTATTAGGAATTATAAAATTTTAAACATACATGATATAAAAAAAAAGAAGACAAAAAAACATATTAAAAAAGCGAAAAAAAATAACGATTACATTTTAAGATTGATTCTGGTAATAATGTTGCCATACATGTTCAACTAAATCAGCTTTCAATTCTTCATGTTTAATCCAATCACGAACTCGGGGTTTAGTGACCATCATATTACCGAGATTTGAAGACAGATTTGTAGCATAGGTGAAATCCACTTGTGAAGAGTGTATGGTGAAAGTGACATGTCTCACGCCTTAGGGCTTCTCCAACGAGACGCCATCCCACTATATTTGGTGCAAAGTGTTCTCCAACGTGACGCCATGAACGACGGGATAATTTTTTTTTTGGTGTTTTATGAACAGTGTTACACCAAATATGGTGTAAATATGGTGTAACACTGTTCATAAAACACCAAAAAAAAAATATTATTTTATTTGTATTTTGATTTATATATTTTAATGAAATGATTATTTATCAACTTAAAATCAAATATACCTTCAATTTTTGTATGTTTTTATTTTTAATAATATGTACTTTAAAGTATAATTAATATGAATAATAATTTATACATAATTTTTAAGGAAATACTAAATTAATTAAAACTGAAAATACATATTAAAGTTCAATTAGATACTGACAACATAAAATTACAAAATTAAACTATTAGTATTTATCAAACTATTAAAAAATAGTGAAAATCTAAAATTTAATAATTTAATAATAATAAACCGGGCCTTGTGGCCTAGTGGGAAAGGGGTCACAGCTGTGACTTCCGCCACCAGGGTTCGAGGCACGGCCACTGGCATGTTTACATAGGGGGATTGCCAGCTTCGTGGGATTAGTCCTTGGGCCTAGGAAACCTTTGGGAGACCCGCGGTTATTCAAAAAAAAAAAAAAATTTAATAATACTAAATTTATTTTTGGTGTTTTGGTGTATTGTTGTTGGAGTTGCTCTTAGTTCTTGTAAGAAAAATCTTCTAATTATCGTTATTGGTCAAATTTTGCATTCCTTAATGGATTCACTACTAAATTTTTGTTTCTGAAATTTGAATTATAATTATCGCTGCAACGTACACAAACCAGAATGCTTATTCAATAGTAAATCTTATTTATTACAATCATGTTGCTAGTAAAAACATAGGAAAAGAGAAAAAGAATGTAGTACAATCTTGATGAAGCAATGTGAAAAGTCAACATAAATAACTTTACAATTTGTTTAACAACTTTTTCGTACTGTTAATCAAAGCCATTAATTAACTCTTAACTATATGCATCTAATAATAATATTTTGTAGTTAGCTTTAGCTAAGTTGGGCATAAAAAAACACATCCAACTCTTAAAAAGCTAGTATAACGTTAGTAGTATAACGTTAGGCTGATAATCATTCTCTTAAAAATAAAGTTATCCTCAATAAACCATAAACAAATTAGTACAATTTTATTCTTCCTACTTGCATTAAGTATCATTACACCAGTAAAAGAAGATATGATTAATCAAATACTAATTAAACGAGCAATTAACGAATGAAGAAGAAGGTGAGACGAAACCGCGTAAGACCTTTCTTCTCTGCACCATCCTCTCTCCTTCATCATTTCACAAATCCACAAAAGAATAAATCTTTTTAACACTCTAATGATTCAACGAATCCAATTACCCAACCAGAAACAGCAACACACACGTAGATATATCTTTCTATTAAACAAAACAAAACTAAACTAAACTAAACTAAAGAAAGAAACCATTTAAAAAAAAAAAAAAAAAGAAACCATTTTTTCTTTTGTTATTGACTTACAAAAACTATCGACGAATAATTATCCTTTTTTTGAGTTTTTCCCATTTCTTTCTTCGTCTCCCAGAAATATTAATCTTAATCCTAATTCCATTTCATCGTCTTCTCGCTGTTCTGCTATATTCCGGTACTAGATCCTCTGTTTTCTCATGTTTCTTTTATTACCAGTTGATTCTTCATTTATTGTTGTGTCTTTGATTCTTTTGTGCGATCTATAATATTGGTAATAAAAATGATCGATGAACATTTAAAGCTACGACTTTTCAGGAGCTCTTGTCTTTTTTTTCTTTAATCTTGATTAAATTACGGAAACATAATGATTTTTGAAGCTTGATCTGATGTGGGTTCTGTGATTTCGTTCCAAAGTTTGATACATTTTTGCTTCTCTGTTCTGATTCTTGTTTTTTTTTGTTTGTGTATGTTTCTTCATCAAGCAGTTTCGTTGGATGAGGAGAAGAAGAAAGTGAAAAAGGTTGTGAAATAGAGAGAGTTGTTTCATGGGCAATTCATGTCGTGGTTCTTTTAAGGACAAAATCTACGAGGGCAATAATAGTAGGCCCGAGGAGAATTCCAAATCCACCACTACTGTTTCTTCCTCTGTTCATTCTCCGACCACAGAACAAGATTTCTCCAAAGAAGCTCACAAACAGGACAACAACAACAACAACAAGAACAATCCAGCTCTTGTGATTCCTGTTAGAGAACCCATTATGCGACGTAACGTTGACAATCAAGCTTACTATGTTCTTGGTCACAAGACTCCTAACATTCGTGATCTTTACACGTTGAGTCGTAAGTTAGGACAAGGACAATTCGGTACAACGTATTTGTGTACTGAGGTTGCTACAGGTAATGATTATGCTTGTAAGTCTATATCCAAGAGGAAATTAATATCTAAAGAAGATGTTGAAGATGTTAGGAGGGAGATTCAGATAATGCATCATTTAGCTGGTCACAAGAACATTGTTACGATTAAAGGAGCTTATGAGGATCCTTTGTATGTTCACATTGTGATGGAGCTTTGTGCTGGTGGTGAGTTGTTTGATAGGATTATTCATAGAGGGCATTACAGCGAGAGGAAAGCTGCTGAGTTGACCAAGATCATTGTCGGTGTTGTTGAGTCGTGTCATTCGCTTGGTGTTATGCATAGAGACTTAAAGCCTGAGAATTTCTTGTTGGTTAATAAGGATGATGATTTCTCTCTTAAGGCCATTGATTTTGGTCTCTCTGTTTTCTTCAAACCAGGTAATGTGGTCTCTAGTTTAGTGTCGAAAGCATCTTAGGAAAATCGTAGAACCTGATTTGGTTGTAAAGTATTCGTTAGTACAACAATAGGTTTGTCTTCTCGTTTTGCTTTAGTTGCGAGTTTCTCTTATTGAAGTATCATGATGTTATTTGTGGTATACATTACTATGACTTTTTATTGATCAAATGAGTATGGTATTGTAAATGCTGCAACTTTGTATAATGTTTAGTCTTACTCTAATTTCAGGCCAAATATTCAAGGATGTTGTTGGCAGTCCTTACTATGTTGCTCCTGAGGTTCTTCTTAAACATTATGGTCCAGAAGCTGATGTGTGGACTGCTGGTGTTATACTCTACATTTTACTAAGTGGTGTCCCGCCTTTTTGGGCAGGTATGTGTGATGGCATATAGCCACTTAAATGTTCTTTTAGCGCCATAGATTTCCTGAAGTTTGGTTTTGTGTTTTTGGAATCAGAAACACAGCAAGGAATATTTGATGCTGTGTTGAAGGGATATATCGACTTTGAGTCAGACCCGTGGCCTGTCATATCCGACAGTGCTAAAGATCTGATCCGGAAGATGTTATGCTCCAGTCCCTCTGAACGTTTGACTGCTCATGAAGTCTTGCGTACGTAATCATTTACACTTAAATAAATGGTTATATTTGGCTACCACACAACTAAATCTCTTATATCTCTTTTTTTTTCAGGTCATCCATGGATCTGCGAGAACGGAGTTGCACCGGATAGAGCACTTGACCCGGCTGTTTTGTCTCGTCTCAAACAGTTTTCGGCAATGAATAAATTAAAGAAGATGGCTTTAAAGGTCAGTTTGTAGTTATACTCTATCTTCTAATGTCTCTGCATCACATTCGTTTTGAGATATGTTTACTCATATTACTTGTTATGGAATGATCAGGTGATAGCTGAAAGCCTCTCAGAAGAAGAGATTGCGGGTTTAAGAGCAATGTTTGAGGCAATGGATACAGATAACAGCGGTGCAATCACTTTTGATGAACTCAAAGCTGGCTTGAGAAGATATGGTTCAACCTTGAAAGACACCGAGATCCGAGATCTAATGGAAGCGGTAAAAATGAATTCATTTGAGAAATATACACTATTTCATTTCGCTATATAAAGGACAATAACCATATTTTGTGTTGTATCTTAGGCTGATGTGGACAACAGCGGTACAATAGATTACAGTGAGTTTATTGCAGCGACGATCCATCTGAATAAACTAGAGAGAGAAGAGCATCTTGTCTCTGCATTTCAATACTTTGACAAAGATGGAAGTGGTTACATCACCATTGACGAGCTGCAACAGTCGTGCATTGAACATGGGATGACCGATGTTTTTCTTGAAGACGTAATCAAAGAAGTAGATCAAGACAACGTAAGCTTTGCCTCTTGACATGATTCTTCCATTCCTTCACCATTGGTGTTTGCTGATAAAGTTTCGATTTTTGTTTCTTACAGGATGGACGAATTGATTACGAAGAATTTGTTGCGATGATGCAAAAGGGAAATGCTGGTGTCGGAAGAAGAACAATGAAAAATAGTCTAAACATCAGCATGAGAGATGTGTAGGCACATACACACAGCGTCTTTAAACTGTTTGCTGGGTGAGGCTGCAAATGTTTCCATGGAATAAACATTTGCAATCTTTAATCACAGAGGAGGAAGAGAAACCAGATTCATAGCTGCAGTGAACCAGCTAATTCAAGGTTTGAGTCTAAAATGTGAAAAACTACTGTATGAGTAAAAAATAGTGCAAGAACAAAAAAAAAAGTGTTTCGTTCTGTTTCATCAGTAGCTGTGAAGATTATTTCCATTTTCTCTCTGTTTTGTTTGTTTGTTTGTAACAATTCTTAAAATTTGGTGAGCTTTATTTCATCTCCATCGTTGAAAGCTTTTGACCCTTCTTGGGTTTTTGAAAGATCAATCATCTTCCAATAGAGTACAAGTATATAAGTGTGTAACAATCTTCTACCTTTTTGTTGTTGTTACAAGTTGATGTTCACTAATCACTTTCTCTAGTTACATCTTCCAATAGAGTAATTACATAAACATATACATGTATAGGAACACATGAGTATATATATGTTATACACATAATACATGTATATTTATTTATGTATGTAAATGGTGTAAAATGTGGATTGTGGAATATGATGATCGCTAAGAGGTCTCAATCATGTAATCAAAGTGATGTCTTGGAACCAAACTTAAGGTTGTTTGAAACAATCAATCATACATTGGTCCCAATGTGGTAGATTGGAACATGACAGGGAAACCATGTGCTCCCCACTTATTGATATTTTTGTATCGTATATGTATACTTTTCACACCACATGCATTGAGTTATTTATGTCACCTTTTATTAGCTTTTGGAAAAAATGGTGAAATAGATTGGTCAACATTCGCTTTGTTATCCTGCAAGTTTTTTTTTCCCCCTTAATTAAGGGGTTTCGTAATTATTCTGCGAGTTTAATAACAATCTTTTTATTTTATTTGTTTTAAAAATCGTTAGAAACATCAGAAATTAAACAAACAAAAAATAAAAAGGAAAAACTACAAAATCTATTACTTATTCCCAATTTCTTTCAAAATCTACCACATTTTTTCCCTTCTTTTAACTCATACCACATTTTGATGTAAAGTTACTATTTTGCCTTCCCTTTTTATCTTCCTTTTTATCTTTCCTCCCTAATTATTTCTCCTCCCTATTTATCTTTCTTCCCTATTTATCTTCCCTACAACATTAGCTTCTCTATTTATCTCTCTCCCTCGAAACACGTGCACTTTAACTAAGAAACATTATATCTCTTGTCCCCGATTGGAAATTCTCTGTTGCGTCTAGATCTTGTCCCCGATTTCATCATCTTGCTCTATTATCATGAATTCCACATCTTGTCCACCAATTGTTCTCATTTAAGGGTTTCGAATTTTATTTAGATTTTTCACCATCTATTTTGGTCCACAGATTAGTTGAGCATTATTGTCTTCACCTACCCTGATTATTGATTTTTTTTCCTTCTATTGCAAAATAACAAAAATATCCAGTTGTCCTCGAGTACTATTACTCATTCTATTACTCATTCGATATGAACTTGTCCCCGATCTAATTCTATTACTCATTCGATCAGAGCTTGTTCCCGATCTAATTCTATTACTCATTCGATCAGAACTTGTTTCCGATCTAATTCTATTACCCATTCGGTCTGAACTTGTCCTTGATCTATATCTATTACCCATTCGATCTGAATTTGTCCCCGATCTAATTCTCTTACTCATTCGATCTGAACTTGTCCCCGATATAACATATTCGATCTGATTCTCTTACTCATTCGATCTGAACTTGTCTCCGATCTAATTCTATTACCCATTCCATCTGAATTCGATATGAACTTGTCCCCGATCTAATTCTATTACTCATTCGATATGAACTTGTCCCCGATCTAATTCTATTATCCATTCGATCTGAACTTGTCCTCGATCTAATTATATCACCCATTCGATCTGAATTTGTCCATGATCTAATTATATTACTCATTAGATATGAATTTGTCCCTGATATAACATATTATTTAAATAACCGTGCAGCATTTATTGCAGACCTGCTCCTTCTTTGGAAACGCCAGACAAAACAGTCTCTGTCTCTGACACAGACTCTGTCCCTGACACAGACTCTGTCCCAATTAGGGGTATTTTGGTCCAGCATTCCACATGTGCTATTGAAATATGGTAGATTTTGAAAGCTTTTTGAGATTGTGGTAGATTTTGAATGCCAGTTGTTAAAATGTGGTAGATTTTGCAATATTCCCAAATAAAAAGATTATTATTAAACTCTCTTTCATTTATTTCTAAAAAAAAACATTTGGTTATGATCAAATTTGCCCAGCTGCATCCACTTTCCGGAGACCTTCCAACCGCTAATCTTAAAGGGTTTTTTCTATCTCAAAAATCATATTTTTAAGCACACCTAAAAACTAAATGCGTTTTTATTTTATTAGAAGAATTTGAGAATTGATGTTGAACAGAAACTAAAGCTCTCATGAAGAAGACGACGATAAGCTCGAGAGAATAATATGAAAATTATAATTGTTTCTGTTAAGTGTAAAATATGATGTACAAAGTATTTATATACACGATTATAAACTATCCGGTACAAACTGGTTCACTAAACCAAAATCAAATGTGTAAACCACATTATCATCTCTAATACTCCCCCTCAAGATGTAATCCCTTACATCTTGGACATGAATAACACCTAATGAATTGGAAGAGCCTTAAATTGACATCATAAAGATCTTCCGGGGGTCTTGGCAATGAACCATAAACGATTGCAGTTACCAAGCCAAAACGATCAGAAATAGCCACAAGTATACATTCAAATAAGCCATAGTCTCTGCTTTGTATCTGCAGAAACAACTGACGCAAACATTGATTCAGCAGCGTCTTATGACCAAAAATCTTTCTTCTGCAACATTGAACAATAATTTGCAGAAATTTCTTCAACAAGATAAAGCTTTGTTCAGACACTATCTCCGTCTCCTGAAGCAGTCTACCAAGCTCCTGTAGTCCATGTCTTATACGCAGAAAGGAAGACAGATCACACACCACATCACTCCAAATGTGTGGATCCTTGAAACCAGCAATCATCTTGCTATACTTCATCCCGAAATCAACTGTTGCATAAGCATGTTTCTTGACAAGAGTGATTAAACAAAAATAGAGGTTTAAATGCTGAACCGATGCAGCATCTCCAATGGTATAGAAGTCACTAAATGAACCATTATCAAGAGGAGCTATCACTTGCAATCCTCCTAAGTTCATCAACATTATGAAATCTACATCACAAGCCAGAGATTCTAAGAGCATAATCCAACTACAGACCAAGTCAGTGAATCTGTGGGAGGAACAAAAGGTGAAATAACTCTCAGGTGGCCGTGGAAGATATCCGTAGAGCAGCATAAGCTCTACCTTCAAATCCAACCATGAATGGTCTCCAAATATCTTGTCATTGACAAGAATCATTCCCGTTGAAGCAATAAGCTCAACCAAACCAGGAAACAACATATCTAAATCTATCTCAAAATCGGTCATGAGATCATTCACAATCACAGAAGTTGATCGCATTAGATCCGAAGAAAAATCTTCAGAAATGAAAGAGTTCCAAGCATACAAGCTTGCTTTACCAGCGGAACGCCCAACCTTGTGAGAAATCACCATCGAAGCAGCTGTAGAACGATCGGTGGAACAACCGAGAGATATCCAGAATCGATCCGGTTGAATGAACGAACGCGATTGCACTAGATCCAGAGATCCCGCAGATGTGACAGCGCGCGATGCTCCAGAGGCCTGATTGACAACAACTGGAGGAGAAATCGGACTCGAATCTGTCGAAACGGTGGATCGAGTCGATTTTCGCATAACTAATTCATTGAAGGAAGGCGTATGGACTGAAACCGGAGAATCTGCATTAACGGAGCTACGCGAAGCCAGAATCACCGGATTTGACTTCACCGGAATAGCTTTCTGAGCTGAAATTGTTGAAGCAGTGGATCCAATCGATTGACGCATAAATTTCTTCAGAGAAACCATCGCAAGAGGAAATCAATCGGTAAAATATACGATTGGGCTCTGCTATGGCAGAATCAAGCGGAAGATGAGCTCGATGGCTCTGATACCATATTAAAAGAATTTGAGAATTGATGTTGAACAGAAACTAAAGCTCTCATGAAGAAGACGACGATAAGCTCGAGAGAATAATATGGAAATTATAATTGTTTATGTTAAGTGTAAAATATGATGTACAAAGTATTTATATACACGATTATAAACTATCCGGTACAAACCGGTTCACTAAACCAAAATCAAATGTGTAAACCACATTATCATCTCTAATATATTTCTTCCTTTATGCACATTTTCATGTCGTAAAGTTTTCGGGAATTTTTTTATCTTTTCCTAACCATGTTGTCGTCTATGGAACGTCGTAAATGTTACAATTGAACGTCGTCCCACAGCCGGAATACAACAAAAGAAACTGAGTCCCAACAATCAACATGAGAGAACTTATCAACATGTAAAACCTAAACTTTTATGGGAAATTGTTAAAAATGCCCCTTTTGGTGTGCCACTTTTCAAAAATGCCCTTTTTAGATGCCCATTTTTAAAAATGCCCTTTTTAAATATGAAATTTTTATAAAGTTTTATTAGGTTTATAAGGTACTTATGGATTGTAACTACTACTTGAAGACTCGATCCAAGTATTTATAAGGTTTTATAAGGTGTTTTTAAAGGTTTTACAAGTTATTTTAAAGGATTTTTAAGGTTTTTCAAAGGTTTTACAAGATATTTTAAAGGTTTTTAAAGATATTTAAAATACATTTATAAGGTATTTATAAAGTATTTATAAGATTTTAGATACATAGAAATGTAGGGGGTGTTATTGGTTTATTAATTTGTAAATCTATATAGAATTTGAAAATTTCTATTAATTATGAAATCAAGATATATGGATTTTGAAATAACATGTGTTTACCCATGGATTTGAATCCTTCTATTTTTCTCTTTCAATTCCATTCAATTCTATTTAAAACATAATTTGGATTCTCAAATCCAAAAACAAATGACTAAACGAATAACATATGATTTTAACTAGTATTTATAAATCATAGAACCAATAACACATGAATTTAATTAGGATTTTAAAATCAATGATTGAATAACAAATGATTTTTGTTTGGATTTCTAATTCTATATAAATCCATGAACCAATAACCCCTCCGTAGTTTGTGTATGTTTTAATAATGTTACATACATATTTGGGTAAATCTTATATTTTTAAGAGCATTTTTTATAAAGTTTTAAAGAATGGGCATTTTTGCAAAAGCCCAACTTTTATTCTAAATGATATCTTCTACATTCTTAGCAAAAAAAAAAAAACAGAGAACTTATCAAATCATCGTGTTTTGTGTTTGAATAAAATTAGATTGTCATATTCTATTCCTTTTGTGATAAAATTTAATTTATGCGCTTTACAAAAATATTGTATAATTAATATTCCGAATATCTTCTATATTAAAAGAGAGATTTTTATGTTTAGGTGGCAAACCCACAATTTTTCTTAACTATATATATTTTTAATTTAAATCTACTATCACTACAAAATAAAACACTTTCGATAATGTCAAATAATGAAAGTCACTTAGTAAACTGACTTTAAATTTTTTACAAAGGAACTTGCCGTCGGTTTACTAACCGACTAAAAAGTTGATTTCAATTTTTTGTTTATTTTCAAAAATTTTAAAATTTGTAGATGAGTCATTGGGCCTATTACACAAAATATGTTTATTTGGTTTAATTAACTCTTATGGTTAGAGACCTTGTAGTCTTCAATTGTATTAAATATTTTTTAATAAATTAATGAAATGTATATATTCTAATAAATATATATAAATTATTTAAACTAAGTAATAATTTACTCGTGCTGTACCTAGTTTTTATATGAAAACTATATCAACACTAGCAAAAGTATTTTAAATACATCCTTAAAATCAGTCGTTACTAAAAAATACACATCCTCCCATTTCAAAGATTAAAAATAAAACAAAACTAAACAATACATGTAACACACGTAGAAGATTAGGGTTTTGAGTTAGGCGGCCTCCTACCATCTAGTATAAACTAGATGTTAACCCGCGGTACACCGCGGACATAAATATTATTTGATTATTTTATTAATTATTAATTATAATATTTTATTTGACATAATACAATTTTTTATTAATTTAGATGTATAAAACTCAATATACTTGTATATATTTAAATGTATAAAACTCAATATAGTTGTATATATCAATTTCATTTTACTAAAATAGATTTTAAAAATTTCCAATAGATCAGTTACTTGTATTCAAATTATGCCATTTCCAATTTTATAAAGTTAGAGAAATAAGATATTGTATTTGATTTCATTTGAATCTATTGAGTTTAATAAAAATAAAATTTATGGTATATATGAACATATTTTTGGTGGAAAAGATATAACAGTTTTAAAAGTGTGTAAATTTAGAAGATAAAGTGTTTTGGATTTAATTTATGTCATTAGTAATAGTTAGTTAGATACAAAAAGTTTGTATAGAATACTTAAATTAATATTACTGTATTTGGTCAGAAAAAAAAAAAAAAAAACAAACCAAAACCAAAAACAAAAAGCAAAACCGAAGAAATGGCTTGGTTAGATGATACCAAACCGGTCGGTGCCTTAACGGAATTTTCAATTCCGACAGGCTTAGATCTTCAATTCACGATCCTCTGCAATCTTCAAGCTCTGAATTAAGCTTCTCATACTATCAAGATTTCGATTAATGTTTCGGATTGCAAATAAGTTCTCTCAAATTCCGATGGGATTGTAGCAGATCAAAACCTCCGGCGATTCAAATCTCCATGCAGCATTGAATCTAATCTGGCTACTTCAGTATATGCATGTAAAGGTTGGTGCTATAAACCGAGTGCGTAATCAAGCAATGGAGTACAGAAGACAAATCAATCAATTGTTCATTTCATAATCGGATCATTCTAAAGGTTAGTGATTGTTCAACTCGATGATTGAAACTACAATTGTTTGTTAAGGTATGTTAAAAATGTAGTAATTGCTGGTGAATAATAGGTAGAATTGGTAGTAGTTTATAGAAATGAATCAATCTACTATAACTCAGGTAAACGAATATATTATAGTGTTAACTGAAATTCTAAGAGAAGCATAAACGCTTGTTCAACTATTGATCTTAAATTCACTTTGAAATATGCTAGTTTACTGAGCCTAACTCCAGCACAAAGTCTGACGAAGATGGACAGAGGAGTAAAAAAAATAGAAAGAGAAGAATGCATCAACTCCATAAGAAAGCAAGGTTAGTCTCCAGAAACCAATCATGTATGAAGAATAGTTTCTTAGTTTCAGTGTTTTATTTTAAACGGAAATTGCAGAACTTAAGAGTATGAAAATGACTTCAGATTAGTTCAGTATGAAGATAGACATTTGATTGCCGATCTCCTTGCATCTTTGAGTTTGAAACTGTCTTGTTTATTAGAAATCACGTTCCTACAATAGGAAAACAAAGACTGATGCATTAAAATGGTGTGTGGTGGTTTTTCATACCATAACTGAAATCTTAAAAAGGAAATGGTAACTAAACTTACTGAAATCATAAAAAGTAAAAGGTAATTAAACTTACCTCATTGCAGAATTTCTCTGTAGATAACATTGTTCAGTTAATGTTTTGGAAAACTTCCTTGAAAACAACATTCGTTGTTTTCTTCTCAATCTTCCCTTCTTTGTTGAGTATTAGTATTCTCAAACCTTTCTTAGAAGTCACTCTAGACAACGCAACATATAGTTGGCCATGAGAGAAAACTGGTTTAGGCAAGTAAAGTCCAACTCGCTCAAGAGATTGCCCCTGACTCTTATTGATAGTCATAGCAAATGCAACAGATAGTGGAAACTGTCTTCTACGCATCTTGAATGGCAGTTTGGTGTCTGAAGGTGTAATGTTTATGAGAGGAATAAAAACGATATCACCAATCCTGTCTCCTGTTATAACTCTTGCTTCCACAATCTGATTTAATAGCTGCGTAATCTGAAGTCTAGTCCCGTTGCAAAGGCCTCCTTTAGGATCTATATTCCTAAGCAACATAACAGGAGCACCAATCTTTAAACGCAAAGCATGATTAGGCAAACCTGAAACCTTGATACTGTTTAAGAAATCTGGAGTAATAACAGGATTGTTAAGAGCATCAGAATCTGAAGGATCTATACTATCAGCAGATAGATAAATTCTTTCTGGACCTGTAGAATAAATGGGATATGATTAGTTACAACAGTAGCAACTTAGCAACAAAGCTATATAATAAGAAAGTAAATAGGTAAGAGTTAAAGTATACTCACTATCCAAATGCTCAAGCATATACTGATTGATTGTGTTGACATCATCATTCTTTGGTGCTAAAATAGCTCTCATTTGAAAGAATTTAGGATCACGGATTTCATGAAGCTTAGTTGGATCTCCATAAATTTCCCTAGTAATTGCTTCTATTGGATTGTCTGCTTCTGTAATCAGCAAATCTTCAGGAATATCTATCACAACCTCACCATCATTAGGCTCATTGATCCTACCATCACCAACAGCCAACAACCAATCTGAGAATTCTTGTATTTCTTTAGCTTCCTGAGCACTTAAACTGTTGTTTAGAAGTCGCATGTTCTTGGTCAACTTTAAAACTTTGCAGTGATCCCAAAGGTATGAAGAATTTAGAGATGACATAACAATTTCTGCTCTACCAGCATTAGTAATAACTGGAAGTACTTGTCTAAAATCACCTCCAAATACAACAACCTTTCCACCAAATACCTTGTTCTCTGCGTGTTTGATAATATCACAGAAGCTTTTATCTAAAGCTTCGAAACAAAACTTGCTCATCATTGGCGCTTCATCCCAGATTATGAGAGATGTTTCTTTAATCAAATCTGCTAAATCTGATTTAGCTTTGATCTTGCAAACAGAAAACTCATCAGGATTCAATGGAATAGAAAACCTTGAATGTGCTGTTCTTCCTCCTTCCAACAACAAAGAAGCAATGCCACTTGAGGCGACATTAAGACATATTAGACCTTTAGACCTAATAGCCGCAGCTAGTGTCTTCCAAATAAATGTTTTCCCTATTCCTCCAGAGCCGTAAACAAAGAAAACTCCACCTAAACCATTGAAAACTGCCCCGGTTATCTCATTGTATACACCTCTCTGTTCAGGAGTTAGCTTATCTCTCCACTCTGCATGCTGTTCTTCCAAGTTGGATTCAATGTTATATCTCAACTCATCAACAATAAGACGGTTTGAATTATCAATTCCCTCTCTTGTAGGCTTAGGGAAATGTTCGAAATCTTCTAGAGTTCCTCCATTGAACAACATAATTTTCTCTATCTCCTGAAGCGTGTAGTTCTTTATTTGAGCTTCTGTGAGTGTAAGTTCTGCAAATAGTAGTGTGGAAGTTAAAACAGGCGATTTAAAAATTGTACTGAAAACAACATTTAAAAATTAGAGAAGCGTATTCTAAAACCTGGATTCTTGTACTCTAATTTCTTCTTAGCCAGGATATCTTCAGCTAATAGATGCCATGTTTCTGACCAAACATGTTCTGGTCTTGCTAGAGACATAGATAGAAGCATCATTGAAAAAAAATTCCTCAAAACAGGAGCAAAACTATGCTGACCTAATTCAATCAGACCATCAATGTAGACTTGATCATCATCTAATATGCCACGTGCGAAACATGCTTCCTTGTAAGTTGGATAAACCACACCTTGATATGTTTTTATGTCATCATAAGTCTGTGGACCTCTGACTATGTTGAGCAGTACTCGAAGATAGTATTCATCTTCCATTTTCCTAGGGACATAATTAATACGACCCAAAGCCCAGCCTCTAGATCTCTTCTTAAACTGCTTATTCTTTCCATCCCAAGTAAAATAGGCTGGTATTTCCGCATATAGACACTCTCTTGCACGCTTTCCATTCTTTCCGACTGCATTTTTTCTATTCAATGTCAACCAAGCCATAAACTGAGAATCTTCATTGGATACACGATCTAGAACATCTGCTATTTGTGACTTTGGATCGAAATATATTGGTTGCTTTCCTTCCACATGAAAAGATAATTTCAAGACTGGGGTTGATCTGTGTTGAATAGGAAATTTGAAAATTCTCCAAACCGCCTCTGAAGCTGATACATATCTATAGACATACAAAAACTGAATTCCAGAAAATTGTAACAGGATAAAAACTTTCTAATCTACATAATACTAAGTTAATAACATACCTGCAGTCAAACCAATCTTTTATTTCATCCTTCTTTTTCTCATTTGAATCTGGTTCTTGAGTTGTAGTTGTTGTATCACCAATTGCTGTAGAACCAGTTGCTGTTTCACCTGTTGTTGGCTGATTTATAGGCTCAACGATCACTGTAACCATATCTGGTCCTTTGTTTATATACTTAAATAAGTATTTGATAGAACCATTTTGATTGCACCATTCCACGTTGATATGAGCATTATATCGAAGAGAGAGCTTCTTATTATAAGGGACAACGTACCTATTGTCACATTTAACATCACCTTTCTCAATATAAGCTTCTGTGAGCCTCCTCCTATAGACAGGATAACCATCACTACCAACCTTAGTGATCTCTTGATGTTTTTTTGGGTATAGCTTAGAACACTGGCCATCAACCATACACGGAGAATTTGGATTCGCTGAGCCACATGGTCCATGAATCATAGAGTTTTTGATAACTTCATATAGCTCTGGTTCTTTTTCTTTGTCTGGAATTTCTGCAGATATGATCTTGTCAATGTCGTCCGCTGTTGGCAGTTTACTATTAACATCCATAAATAAGAGGATGTGAGCATGAGGCAATCCTCTTTTCTGGAATTCAACAGTATACATAGCTGGAAGAGGAAAAAAAGCAATAGTTAGGAAAAACAAATAGCATTTTCTGTATTCTTAAACTATAAAACCGACACTGTAAAATGAAAAACTTACATGCAGCTGTCTTTCCAAGCATTTTTCTTTCTGTTAAGTCTTTCATCAGAGAATCCAATTTCATTTTGAATATCCTCGCCACGATGTCCGGTCTATCATCAGCAGTTAACCCTCTTGCTTCACAATATCTTGTAATCTCAGGCCACTTAGGATTACATGTAAAGGTGATGAAAAGATCTGGGAAACCATAACGCTTACAGATAGCCATAGCATCGTAATAGCTTTGGATCATATATCTAGGTCCACCAGTGAAAGATGCTGGAATAAGAATCTGATTTCCTTCTTCAGCCATATCTTTGGTTCCAGAGTTAGCAGCTGCTTTAATGGAGTTGAAATTCTCACATCGTAGCTTAGACTGATTAAACTTGATATAAGAGAGGCGGTTTGATTCAATAGTTGTATATGCATCACACAGAAACTGTTGGAACAACCTCTTTGATTCAAGCAGAGTATGACACTCATTTTCCCTCTCTTGAATGCGGAAAGCAAACCACTGTCTCATACTTATACACTTTTTCTTCTTGTTGTTGCTTGATTTGTAACACTTCTCAATACCAGGCCTGTAACCATCTTCACCATAGCAAAATATTAGAGGGTATTGTAGAGCCAAATAGGAAATATGAATCTGGCTTATCCTCTTTAGGCGTCCATTTGAGGATTTTTCTAGAATTATATCACGAACTGGCATGTCAGGAATGAAATCACCAGGGATCAAAGCTGCAACCTCTCCAGCTGTAGGCATACTGTATTGCCTCCCATCAACACCTTGACGATCAGCAACAATCCGCATATGAAATGGTTCATCATCATTAGATTGAAACCTCTCTCTTGCAGACCTGAATTTCTTGACATAAGGGTTTGATTCATTCAGCATTTTTATTATTGCTTAAATCAGTTCCTTGTTCAGTTTTTTTTTCCAAGAGGTAGACTTTAGATTTTTACCCTTCCTGTAATGACCATAAGAAGACACAGAGTTAGATAACTACAGCTGAATATAGTATCGAAGTTAATATAACAGTAAATCTGCAATGTTTTTGAATACTATTATAACTCTTACCCGATGACAGTAGCTCTCTGATCAACTTCAGATTCAGTATCAACTATATAAAGTTGTGAATACTTAGCATAATCACCAGCAGCAGGTTTTAATCCCCCAATTTGATGATAGTTTCCTCCTTGCAATCGAAACATTGCAGGTCCTTTACCTTTAGGCATAGATTTATCTACCTTCCCACCAAGGGAGGTCATTGCGAAGAGCATATTATAAATCCTTAAATTCTCTCTGAAATTTCTACTAATTGCATCTTTTCCTTTAAGAAGCTTTTTAATAAGCTCTGGTGATTCCTTGAGAAATGGCAATTTCACACTGCCTTGCCCACAACATAGAGTAAATGTTGGATCCTTACTACTGTTTCTTTTGTTTATGCGCTCATCAAACCACATCAAAGCACCACAATACTTACACGTGTATGTAGGATCACCATGATCAAGATATCCTAAAGGAAAAATAGAGTGTTAGTAATATGTACGCAACAAAGGATGCTATATGTTGAGGTTTGCAAATAAATGTCTATTATGTATTATATTCTTAAGTTCTAACCTGTTTTTTTTGCTTTTGCTGCTGCCCTTTTCGAGGGGAAAGCCAATCTTGGCCTACCTATTTTCTTAGGTAGATTTTTATTTTGAGTCACTGCTTTCCTTTCTACACTTTTCCTAGTAACACTTACAGTAGGAGTAGTTAATTCTTCTCTTGATTCATCCGCTGAACTACTCAAGTCAATAACTTGTTGTGGAGAATTAAATATATGTTCAGTAGAAGGTTCCTGAACAGGAGCCGAGTAACCTTCTTCAACTTCATCTTCTGTGCTGCTAACAGAGTAGTCTTGTGTTCCATCAGATTCACTGTCATTCATTCCAATATAATTAATATGCTCCATACTTTCATCATCAGTGCTACAATCTGTTAAGGTTGGCAGTACTGGTTCTTTTCCTTTGCCTAGATAGTACAAAAACATATATAATTAAGTAATGTATTTAGATAGTAGATTGGTAAAACTCTGAAAACTAAGACAATAACTTAAGAAATGTCTGTTACCTTTGTCTGAAGGAGAAAATGATGCATTAGCAAAGGCGTCTTGTAAATTTCTGATATGGCAGTTATTTTCTTGTGGAACAGGTGTACAGTCTGACGGTTTGCCTAAGCATGAAGTAGGAAGAGCAGGACCAAGTGGTTGTTGTGTATGTTTTGAAGATAATGATTGCTGCGGACTCCTTGGGGTCTTACTTGTTTCATCATTTCTGCAAGGAAGATTGGTAATATCTCTAAACACTCTGCTAAAGGCTGATTTTAGAGGGACAACACCATTTGTGTTAAAGACAGTAGCTTGAGTAATTTGGCTCTGCGGTGTTGGAGTCTGAATAACACGTGATCTTTTAGCTGGTTTAGGAGAAGAGTTCAAGTCTATAAGAGGATAGTATTGCTTAGAGCCAGTAGCTTGAGTAATTTGGTTCTGCGATGTTGGAGTTTGACCAAACTGGACTGTTTTAGCTGTTTTAGGTGAGAAATTCAAATCTATAAGAGGGTAGTTAGGCTTAGAGCTAGTAGTTTGAGTAATTTGGCTCTGCGATGTTGGAGTTTGAGTAACACGGGATCTTTTAGCTGGTGTAGGTGAAGAGTTCAAGTCTAAAAGAGGGTAGTCTGGCTTTTTTTTCATATTTGCAAACAAAAGAAAAACAGCGAGTTTAAGCAAAATGGTTCTTCTGATAAACAATGAACTTCATACTGAAATAGCCTTTTAAAAATTAAATGGCAGATACGCCATTGATCAAGTAATATTGATCTGTTGATAAAATATAGACAGTTACTATATTCTAGGCATTGAGATCAAGTTAGATGGTTCAATGATAATATTTAGAAAATCTGTCCAATATTATCGTTAGTGATTCATATACTAACTGATATGTTTATAATTACACAGATTAAGGAAATACAGCAAGCAATGAGGATCTTGATAGATGCTTATCTTGATTGATGCTTGTCTAAAGCTAACCAATACCTTTAATATCTAGGTATGTTTTCTAAACATTTTCTTAAACCAAATCATTTAATTTACTAAAGTAAACGAATTAACCTAAATAGTTACTGTTTGAGATTTAGTTAGAATTAAATTCATAATTAATTTATAACCTTTTTTCTTTTAACAGACCTATCTTAAACTTGTAGACATCAAAATACCAAAAAACCACATAAATTGTCAAACAGATTCAATACAGATAAAATATTAAATAGAAAGAAAGTTTGCAAACTCTTGTGCAGAGTTGCCGTAGTAGTTGATAATAAACAAAAAGAAAATTAAAAACATTAAGAGTTCAAAACATAAACTTAAAACATAACACCAAAACATTCAGAGTTCTTCAAAAGAGCTAGCCACCGTAGAACATGCACAGATATCCCTCACAATAATTAGTTCTCCTCAACCATCTCCATCATGACATCTTCCTCATCACTTGAAGTATCTTCGAAAGAGCGCCTAACAGAAATATAGTTGCATTTATGTTAACACTGAAAAATGAAAAACATAAAAGAAGTGTAAAATATAAACGATACTTACAGGTAGCTTGGTAAGTCTAGCTCATAAATGGGATCAATGTAGAGACGTGAACAGCAAGATTCACTCATTAAGACATTTTTTCCTATAGTACAATAATAAACACAGTCAATATAACACTGCAAAAATAAGTTCAGCAATAGCAAAATCTCATTAAAACCTACCACAGTACGATGAGATCCTCCGGAAACGCAAGACTGCAACTATCTTATCATAGTTGTAATCTACAGAGCTAATTCTTCTGGACCAAGCGTTGATAAAGAACTCACACCACTTACCAATAGCAACGCATTTGATAGTCTCACCCCTAGATTTCATGTAGCCATCAAAGCATATTGTTTTTAACAGATATAACATGATAACAAAATTTTGAATCTTGTACAAAATTAGACAGAAATATAGTAAACTTACACATTGTTAGCAATCTTGAAACAGACATAGCGAGCTTCATAATCTGTCTCACCAGGACGACAAACAAAGGGAAACCTTTCAATGGTGGACACAGCAGAGATCACACCCATAGCATCTAAAAAAACAAAACACAAAATGGTTGGAAAGACATATAAATAGATAACTATATAACTTGAACCTAGGCTCTTTTATTACCAGTCACATAGGTTCCATCATCTGGATGAGGGTTGCTGATAGAATCATGAGTCATAAAGTCAAAGAAATTGCTATAACCCCTAGATCTAACAGGCCACATTGTTGTTTGTCTGATACACCTAATCTGAAGTGGAAATGGTGCAAATCTGGCTTGGTATTCTGAGGGTACGACTGGTTGGAAGTCAGACATGTAATACCACAAACCTTCTTTGAGTCCAGGTTGAAAGTTAAAAATGTAGTTGTTTCTAGCAATTGTTGCATCGCAGAAATTACCCTATACAAACAAAAACAAAAAAGTCAAGAGATATTAAGTAAGAGAAGAAAGTAAGTGGATGATCTTCACTATGTTTTAAAACAGAAGATAAGAATTACAAACAAACCTTTTCATCTACGAGAATCATGGTGGTTACATCACCATTCAATGGTGGATTGTGATGCCAGATACGCATTATCTTAACATAAACCCTCCACTCTGTAGAGTTAACACGAATTTGGGAAAAAAGATGCATATCAACCATGTTTTTTAACGATTCTGCTCTGCTTTGAGAAGGGAAGTTACAGTGTTTCTTTTTCAATTCTAAACGATAGGTCTACTTGGTTATATAGAGATATTGATGAAGAGGCATAATAAATTGTTAAAGAAAATAAGGGAAATCGAAACGTTATTAATTGTTTTATTAATATACTCTATATTTTTTAGATTATAGGGAATCATTGATAATGATTGAAAAGTTGTCAGTTACCAAAATGATTACTTTTGAAGATTGCATGTCAAATATGAAAGATTGAGTATACAGTATATATAGACACTATATATACATCTAAGAATTTTAATATCCTAAATATATCAAGTTATACGGAATCTTAGCACTTCACATATATGTAGATGTATCTATATTATGCTCTCTAATTAATTAGGTTTATAGATGAATTATAGGGTAAGCACGAAAGACTATATTTGCAAGGTTAATTAATATAGATTTAAGACTATAATTTTAAGAAATGATAAATTGAAATAAAATAGCATCCAACGAAGACTAACAATAGAAAGAAATCACCAAACAGAATAGCAAGCAATAATAGAAATCAAAGTCTTAGAAATCTGAAAGCAATAAGAAAACAAAGCAGGTAATAAATCAAATCATAGCAACCATTCTTCACTTCTTTTCAACCTTGACCTTCACAACACCTTTAACACATTTCCCCTCCTTCTTCACCTCATGTGTACCCACTCCACCATTGGATACAACATTGTTAGTCTTAGGCTCAGATTTGTAAGCATCATCATTAATCACCACAGCAACCTTGGCAGCTATGTCCTTCACATTTGCCTCTTGATCCTTAGTAATAGAATCTTCATCACCAAAGTCAATAGGTTCAATGCACAACTTCTTAGAAGAAGAAGAATGATCAGAAGAACCGGGATTGTCAGCATAAACACGTTTTGATGATGGAGTGACAGAGTCAGAAGTCTCTTGACTCATCTCCAGCATTAGTGGCACCTGTAATAAAACAAACGATGAAATTAATACTATAACTTAGCTTGTTTTAAGATCCATGTACTAACAATTGTTCTATGCTAAATATGTTCTGACAAAACAATCACCTGATCACCAGATACAATAGATGCAGGATTGACCAACTCATGAGAATCCTCCAGCAATTGTTCCTCAAGCAGAAGGCCATCTTTCTGCAACACTTTAGATACCTTGTATATCTCCTTCCCATCCCAAATATTCTCTTTATCAATAGACACCAGGAAAAGAAATGTCCTTCCAAATAGATTTTTAACTGCATCTGGTATGTTCTCCGGATCATCAATCTGAAATTAAAAACTATTCAGGAATTTGTGTGTCTAGAACAATGTAAAAAAGATATTAACATATATAGTAGTGCATCAAACCTCATCAACGGAACCATTAAGCACAGATGTAGCAGACTCTCCAATGATTTCAGAGCAAACTGAATCAAACAGCAACAATTTAGCTTCACCAGTGTTGTCCATCACCTTAGCATAGAGCATAAACCTGTATAAAATGTAAACAATAATGTATATGTAGATATAATTTTCGTCTATAGACTAATAACATAGCTATTTCAGAATTTTTTACCTAGCCACGACATTAGTGACCACAGATTTGCAAGTGTCACACCAGAACCTTGGCTTTTTCCCTTTGTTATTCACACCATTCACTCCATGGTGGATATGTGTGACTTTCTTATTGCAAGCACGACAGCTAATGTAATACCAAGCCCAGTCGGTATCAATTGCATAGATTGTACACATCAACCTTGCCTTGCCAATCTAGAAAAAAAGTAGATTTTAATATGGATATTTATAGACATTAAAACGTTTTCTAATGATAGTAAACATAACTAATTACCTCGACAGAGTTGAGGAGATCCACAATGGTTTTCCTGGGATGATCTAAAGAAGTATCATCCTGATTGGCAACAACAATCTCAAACTTCGGGACTCTCTCACGGAAGATACACATTGCACCATCACTTGGGAGACTATATGTCAAAAAAACATGTATATATATGTTAGTTCCATAGTACAGAAGTAAGCACAATTGGATAAACTATTAAATCACATACAAAATGTACCTTTGAACAAACACAGCAATTTCAGGGATTGCTGGATTAACAAAAACTTGTGAAGCATCAAATGAGTTAGACAGAGTCTTTACACCTGTAGATTACAAATAAGATATATGAGGCATAACTTCTATATAAACGGTCCCAGTATATTGATATGGTTGCTAAGATTATGTTTTATGTACCTTTGAAGGATTTGATCTTCACAAACCTCAACAAACAGACAACAGGACGTCCACCAGCATCCTGGCTTCCTCTGTAAACAGTCTCAGCAAATGATCCCCACAAGGTAACACCGATCCTTTCATCACTTTTATGTTCAAAACAGAACATGTTCAGTAGGATAAGTAAAGATACTAACCAAAAAATTGAAAATTCTTACGTTTCATTTCTCATTTCAAACTCAATCTTGCTAGTTAGTTTGTTATTGGCTTCAAGAGTTAACAACTCTCCAATCATAACAATCTGGCCAATTACATCTATAAAATAAAAATAGAGATAAAAATATATCATGTTCTGTTTCTAAAGTGTAGATTGATTTATTTAATATCTTTAAATAAAAAAGATACTTACCAACCAATATGTATGGATTAAGATCTCCATTTTGAATTCTTTTGAAACTGGCTAGTGACAGGTAACTTGAGTCAGAGACAGGATCACATGGAAAGACATGAGTTCCATTTGTGAAAGTCATCTTATATAGATGAGAGGTTGGACGAAATTGGCCACTGGCATAATTGAGAGCAAAGATCTCAATGAACACCCAATGACCAACAGGTAAGCTTGAGACATATCTGCTCACCAGTTCCTTCTTCACAGTAGCATGAATCTTTTTGCCCTGTTATAGTTTATAGAAACAGTAGAGTCAGATAAAAATATTAGCTTTAAAATGGTTTAATGCAAACTAATTAACAATTATTATGTAACAGATTTACCTCAATGTCAGATAACACCAACTCTAGAGTTTCACCAGTGTTGGATGTGTACTGATGCCAGGAGTGAAGTACCTTCACTTGGACTCTCCACTGTGTGGTGTATGGCCTGACATCTTTGAGGTAAGCAAATGTTGCAACAGCCATTATATGCTCGATTATGTTTAGAGAAAATAATATGATTAGAGGGGGTGAGTGCTGATGATGATGAGAGGTTTTGATATGGAACTATATATAGGGTGATAGAATAGGTTAAAGAAAACTTGATGACAAAGCATATTGGTATCGCAATCTCTTCCAAATCGGCATAAAATATATGCATTGTTAAGATTATGGAATATAGATTAATGGTTATCAATGAATTGGTTGAGGTTTCCAGAAATCTATGGGAAGGAGAGGATAACTATAAGATTCTCTTAAATGATAAGAACTGAGCGTAGGCGGGAAAATAAATTCAATTAGTAGAGGGAAAATGTATTTCGAAGTCATTTAAATTGATAGTAGCAGAAGCAAGATTTGTTAAAGATTGCATTGACGAAAATGGAGGAACAAAAGAGATGATAAGGTATGTGAGAAGTAATTTGTTTTGATTGTGTAAATATGAGTGGAATAAATTAGGTATGATTAGATTCCGGAGATATTTGATTAGCGAAATAGTTTAGGAATATGTGAAGTGCGGATTGGTAGATTAAATATGGAATTATAGAAGTAATTAGAGTGAATATTTCAATGTGGTTTTAAGACAACATTCCTTAAATCTCTTATCCTAGATCCGAATATGATTAAACCGGGTAAAACCCGGATCCAAAAGACTTTTTGCAAAAATCCCCTGTAAAAATGTATATGTAGATAAATCCAGCTTCTCTTGTCTCTCTAATATCTTCGTAAACCTCTCTAACTTTGATTTTTCCACATATGATTAGATTTTGATTCTCTATATCCTTCAAGCTTACGTCACTACAAGAAAACACAGCAACTCCTGACGGTATTTCTGACAGACAACAATCCATCGGAAATTACCGACGAATTACCGACGGAATTCAAGCCATCGAGACTCGTCCGTAGTCCGTCAGTAATTTCTGACGGTGTTACATCCGTCGGAAATATATAACGAGAACCCGATGGCGTTTTGACGGCATATGTGCGTTAGTAATATCTGTCGGGAATTCGTCAGTTTATTGTTACCGTTACCATAACCGTTTGAATATTTTAATTTCCTACAGAATACCGACGGCTTCGTGACGGAATATATCCGTTACCTATATCTGTCGGGAATCCGTCGATTATTTGTTACCGTTAAAGTAGCCGTTCTTTTAGCCGTTTGAATTTTTGTTTGTGACGGAATATCGACGGATATCCGACGGACGCCGTTAGAATTTTTTTTTTATAAATATGCATACCCACTCATTCTCAACAACACACTCATTCTAACACCATTCTTCCATTCTCTAAAAGAAAATAACGAAACAAAAAAAGATGTCTTATTTTAGATCGTGGATGGACGAACCAATGATGGATCCAGAGTCAAACTTATTAAGAGACGAATACGCTCAAGGGGTATGTGAGTTCGTGGAATTTGCTTGTCAACAACCAGAAGCAAAGAAAACCCGTAAGTTGAAATGTCCATGTTCTCTTTGCGGGAATGCCCATAATATTAGGATTGATTTAGTTTGGAATCACTTGTATTGCAATGGGTTTATGACGGGTTATAAGATTTGGTTTCTTCATGGAGAACGACCGGATTATGCTAGTACTAGCAAACCATATATTATGGATAGCGTAGAAGAACGTAGAACGGAAGTAAATTTTGGTGTAGGTACTGTTCAGATGGTTAATGATGCCTATAGAGAAAATATACAGTCGACTGGTACAGATGAAGATAGAATAGAGGAACCTAACTTAGAAGCCCAAATGTTTTTCGGAATATTAGACGCAGCTAAACAACCTCTATACAAAGGCTGTAGAGATGGTCATTCGCTTTTATCATCTACAAGTAGATTGATGACGATAAAGACAGGCTAGAATTTGGCTGAAGATTGTGTGGATGCGATAGCAGATTTTGTGAAAGACATTTTGCCTGAAGATAATATTTCACCAGCTTCATACTACGAGGTTCAGAAACTGGTAGCTGGTCATTCGCTTTTATCATCTACAAGTAGATTGATGACGATAAAGATAGACTACAATTTGGCTAAAGATTGTGTGGATGCGATAGCAGATTTTGTGAAAGACATTTTGCCTGAAGATAATATTTCACCAGCTTCATACTACGAGGTTCAGAAACTGGTAGCTGGTCTTGGTTTATTGTATCAGATTATAGATGTGTGTGTCGACAATTGTATGATATATTGGAGAGAAGACGAAAACCGGAGAAGATGTAAATGGTGTCGCAAACCACGATTTCAGGAAACATCTGGCAGAGTTCCAGTCCCTTATAAGCGAATGTGGTATTTACCAATAACTGACAGGTTGAAGAGATTATACCAATCAGAACGTACGGCTGAGGCAATGAGATGGCATGCAGAGCATAGAAGAGATGGAGAGATCACGCATCCTTCAGATGCAGAAGCATGGAGACATTTTCAGTCAGTGTATCCGGATTTTGCGTACAAGCGACGTAACGTATACTTGGGATTATGTACAGACGGTTTCAACCCATTTGGGAAGCACGGAAGGCAATATTCGTTGTGGCCGGTAATCCTAACACCTTACAATCTGCCACCATCGTTGTGCATGCGCCGAGAGTTTCTATTCCTCTCAATTCTCGTTCCGGGTCCAGAGCATCCAAAGAGATCACTTGATGTCTTCTTACAGCCATTGATCTATGAGTTGCAAATGTTTTGGGAGCACGGTGTTGAAGCATATGATGTATCATATCAACAGAATTTTCAGATGCGTGCCGTACTAATGTGGACCATAAGCGATTTTCCAACATATGGTATGTTATCTGGGTGGACAACGAATGGAAGATTATCGTGTCCGTATTTTCAAGATAACACAGATGCCTTCCAATTGAAGCACGGATGGAAGACATGTTGGTTTGATTGTCATAGAAGATTCCTACCTCCCGATCACCCTTATCGTCGCACAAGAAATTTGTTTAAGAAGAATAGGTACGTGTTTGATGATCCACCTCCAGGTGTAGATGGTGCGAGTATATTGACTCAATTCAGAGATTTTGGAGCAGCGAGGACTCCTGATGTTGGTGGTAATGGGCATGATCCTGTTGATGGTGCTGGTGTAAATCACAATTGGCACAAACAGAGCATTTTTTGGGATTTGCCGTATTGGAAAGATCTTTTGTTGAAACACAATATAGATGTCATGCACACTGTGAAGAACTTCTTTGACAACATCATGAACACCACTCTAAACGTCCCAGGGAAGACAAAAGACAATTTGAAGTCTAGATTAGACTTGCCAGATATTTGTTCTCGGCGTGAGCTTGAGGTAATGGCGAACGGGAGATGTCCAATTCCGATCTATCGGTTAAATGCGGCTTCAAAGATGGCTTTCTTCGATTGGATTACCCATGAGGTAAAGTTTCCCAATGGTTACGCATCGAATTTGCGTAATTGCGTAGATATTTGAGAAGGGAAGTTTACAGGAATGAAGAGCCATGATTGTCATGTTGTTATGCAGCGACTTCTTCCATTTGCCTTTGCCCATCTTCTACCAGCAAACGTCCATGAAGCAATTGCAGGTACATTTTAGTATTAAATTGCAAATATATCATTATATATAGTAAAACTTCTATAAATTAATAATATTGGGATTAAAATATTTTATTAATTTATAATGATATTAATTTATTGTTTTGATTGTAAAAATATTTTTATAAAAATATGATTTAAAACATTTGATCTACATAAAATTAATATTTTGAAAGTTATATATTTTATAGTTTTAGACTTAAGAATTTAATATTTCTAAAAGAAATAATTTATTTGACAATGAATAACAAAGATTATGCATATTAAATCTATTATTTTATCGTGTTTATTAATTTATCGACTATTAATTTATATAGGTTTAATTGTATCTACTATTTTTAATATATATTAAATTTGTTTAAACATGCAGGAATTGGTGCTTTCTTTCGCGACTTATCAAAAAGATCACTTACGGTTGACGGTATCCGAAATTTGGAACAAAATATACCCATTCTTCTTTGCAATCTTGAGAAGATATTTCCACCGTCTTTTTTTGATGTTATGGAACATCTACCTATTCATCTACCGCGAGAAGCAGCACTAGGTGGTCCTGTCCAATATCGATGGATGTATCCTTTTGAACGGTACATGTTTCACCTCAAGAAGAAGGTTAAGAATTTAAGCAAAGTCGAGGGCTCTATTGTGGCACAAAGCATTAATGAAGAAGCCTCACACTTTGCGGAATATTACTTTCCGTCAGATGTACGTACTAAGAGTCGACGTCCTTCTCGTCATGACGATGGAGGCGAGCAACCAACGTATCCTGTCTACGTCCCAAGCTTGTTTACTCAAATTGGACGCCTTAGTGGCAAATGGAAGAAACGAAAACTATCAGAGCAGGAGTATACGCACTTGCATATGTATATTCTCACAAACTGTGAGGATATTCTTGAATATGAGAGGTACGTATTAAAATTTGATTATGTCTAATAATAATTAAATTTTTTTAATTAATGAATATAACTCTAACTATTTTTTTTTTACAGGATTTACAAGGCTGTAGTACGCTCCTATTATCCGGAGTTTACAGAAGATCAAATTGTTGACCTTAAAGAGAAGGAGTTCTCGTGTTGGTTGCAATACTATGTAAGTTATAAAAGAAAATTTAAAAATTTCGGTGGTAACCTCTATATTAATTAACTGCCATAATAATGTTATAGGTATCAGATGGAGTTTCTAAAGGTCAATCATTTCCAACATGGTTACTAGAGTTCTCTAGCGGACAAAACTACATTGCAAAATCCTACCCGAGGTATTGCACAAGAGGATATGCTTTTAGGATTTATGAAGATGGAACTAGGAGGACCACAACTGATTCTGGTATATCTGTTCAAGCTGGTGGTGTTGTATACTATGGTATCCTTAGAGAAATATTGGAAATTTGCTACCCAGGAATGTTGAACATGAGATGCATTGCATTTTTGTGTGACTGGTACGATCCTGTGGTTGGTAGTGGTGTACGAGTTGACCAATTCGGTGTTACATCAATAGACTCAAGACGAAGGTTATTGAAATACGATCCATTTATACTTGCATCACAAGCAGACCAAGTATGTTCATTTATTAACATTCAGTTACAAAATCATAGATGATATAATTAAATATTTCCATTGATTGTTATAGGTATGCTATATCAATTACCCTCGAGTGACGCGCGTCAACGACCCATGGATAACAGTGACGTCGGTAAACCCAAGAGGTCAAGTATATGGAGTTGCAGCCCACGAGCCTCTACAGGCAAGCGGAAGTTGTCAGATGGCTTCAGTTGAGCATTCCCTTGAAGTTGATCTTATGGTTGACTTCACCTTATTTGAAGATGAAATAGTGCATTCAGAGTCAGAGGAATCAGTTGGAGAATTTGATGATGATATAGACTCAATTCCTTCTGACTATTCAACAGATTCAGAGTAGATAATAAATGTTAACTTTATGTAAGACAATATTTGGTACTACGTTTTATAATAAATTATTTATACTAGCTATGATTTAATTAATGATAAAAGAATGGGGATCGGAGGAACAAAATTAGAAAAGACAAGAACACATGAGATTGTCTAATAAATTTGGAAGACTAATGTTAAAATAAATGTATTTTGATACCTTGATGGAAATTTGGCATAAACATGAAAAAATCTGAACTTGAAATAAATCTTGAAATATATATTAACATCAAATAAATTGAAAATATTAGTATAAAATCAAATAATTTTGGAAACTAAGTCTATAAATAAATAATGAGTAAATTTGGAAATATACCCTATTTTTGTTTACACTTTTGAAAAATATCTTTTCTTTAATTTTCTTTTAAAAACTAACTTAAATATGTAAAGTTACTAAAATTTACTTAAACTTAATAACAATTGATCAAAATATCTATATTTTAAATAGAAAATAAATTTATTGATAATAAATAAAATATTTAATTTTACAAAGTTTTTATATAACTAAAAATTCCAAAAATTTACTATCATAAATATTTTTTATAAAATAATGCATAACAACATTCTACCGATATTAAGTCATGATTTTTGTTAAGTCATGTGTTATTTTTTTAAACAATAAAGAATAACAAACAAATTCAAAGAGAATCATTGATTGAAGCAAAGTTTTGTGAAATGTTGAGTTGAAAAATGTGTTTGGAGTGTTGGAGATTATTTTACTTTATATAACATGACAAATAATATTAAGTGAGATTTTATAATATTTTTAGATATTATCTTGTTAAATTTTAATATATAAATATGATAGACCATATTAGTTCTAAATATATATATAACTTTAATTAAAATTATCTTGATTTTTTTTTCTTTCCCTAAATTTCGAATTTAGTTTATTGATTAAAAATATAGCTTTAAATTTAAATTAATACCAAATTTTCATATATATAGATCAAAATTGTAGTTTTCATCAAAAAGATAAAGGTATTTTTCAAAGAATAACTTAAAAACAGGGTATTTTTCAAAATAACCCTAAATTAATTTGAGAACTGAGTTTAAAAGATAAATATTAAATTTGCCATTATCGACGGATTCCCGACGGACATAAGATTTTCATCGGGTTTAAGGTTGGTGAACGCGGTTACACGTGGATAACGGCGGTTACACGTGGATTACGGTCCGTCGGGAATCCCTCGGAAAATACCGACGGATTCCCGAGGGATTTGGGTATCAAATTTAGAAACTTTATAACTTACCGCATTGTAAAACATATTTTAATACGTCTTAAACTCTAGTAATTGGTTTACACCCATTGTATAACTATAATTTAAGTTTTTGTTAATGTTAAAAGAATTTCAATAAAAGTGTTTCTATATATACTTATAATGTTACTAATTAAGTGTTTGATGTTGTGAGTCTTCTAAACTTTTTTTTTTTATGAGAATTTGTTTAAGGAAACATGTATAAAAGCTGAGAACTTACACTAATGTTAGTGGTAAGTGAGTAACAAATAGATTTTTGAAACTATTTATGAACTTTTTTTAGGTTTTGTGTTAAAATCCCGTAATCCCTTGGTAATTCGTCGGGAATTTTGATCAGAAATTCGATTTCCGTCGGAAATCCGTCGGTTATAACCACAAAATTTAACCCGGGAACATTCCCAAAATATTTGGAAATCGCGGTTTATTTAATTTTGTTAATAAACCGAGGGCAACCCGATGAGTGTGTCTGTCAGGAATCCGACTATAAATACAAAAACCCTCTGTTTTGCCGACCCATTTTCTCCACTTTCTCTCACTTTCTAACCCAGAATTTTTTCCTCCGTATATCTCAACTTCTCTCTTCGAATCTTCCTAATTTCATCACCTTAACCACTCAACGATGTAAGCTTTTCATCCATTGAACTATCTATTTCATGTTTACATCAGATTTTTGGATTTGGAATATACAAATTAGGGTTTGTAGATGAGTCATTGGGCCTATTACACAAAATATGTTTATTTGGTTTAATTAACTCTTATGGTTAGAGACCTTGTAGTCTTCAATTGTATTAAATATTTTTTTAATAAATTAATGAAATGTATATATTCTAATAAATATATATAAATTATTTAAACTAAGTAATAATTTACTCGTGCTGTACCTAGTTTTTATATGAAAACTATATCAACACTAGCAAAAGTATTTTAAATACATCCTTAAAATCAGTCGTTACTAAAAAATACACATCCTCCCATTTCAAAGATTAAAAATAAAACAAAACTAAACAATACATGTAACACACGTAGAAGATTAGGGTTTTGAGTTAGGCCGCCTCCTACCATCTAGTATAAATAAATCCAGCTTCTCTTGTCTCTCTAATATCTTCGTAAACCTCTCTAACTTTGATTTTTCCACATATGATTAGATTTTGATTCTCTATATCCTTCAAGCTTACGAGTAATCGTACGTTTTTTTTTTTTACTGGTGGGTGTTTTGTATCGAACTTTATTCCTGATGAAGAAGAATTCCCATAAGATAGGAAGTGCCGTATGACACTTTACACAACAGTGGACTGAACGAGGATGCATCCGGTGATATCCCATCCCCCCGAGCAGTGTTCCCAACCGTATTCGGATCCTAACCCGATCTTTTTACGGTCGGGTTCGAGCTGCTCGGCCGGGTTATCTACCGTACTTCCCACCGTTCTGTGTCCGCTGTGTGGGTGATTTGACACGGGTTCGCTGAGGGTTTTATTGATGTTTTTTTGTTAATTATGATGAAATTGTCCGATGCCACGTCGGCGGTAGCTTTTTGGCTATGATCCTCGATGCTACATTGGACATAGACAAATGTACGTGTTTCGCTTACTGATAGGAACCTGTTGATATTGATTCTATACTATCTACGGAGCCATTTCGGCGATTACATTGTTTGTTTTTTTGAAACTAATTCGATTTGATTATTGGGAAGATTACCGATGATGATTATTGCTAAAATATGGAATTACCGTCTGAGTTTAATTACTTTGATGTGAAAAACGCTGGCTAACTGAGGCTTCCCAACCACATAATTCTTTTTTTTTTTAATTATAAATATTTGGTTAGAAGTATTATTATTTTCTGAGTTAATTACCATACGTACGATGGTCTTGAATGATAAAGAATCCAAATTTTTAGAATTATAGCCGTTTTAAACAATGTGCCACCCAGGCGATGATTCCTGTCCCCACCGACCAAAAAAAGCTAATGGCCACCTTGATTGTTGCCGACGCTTCGGAGATATATATACTCGTCTTTTTTTAAGACGCAACAACACGTCAAAAGCTATTTCTGCCTAATCACGCAAAGTCAAAAAGAAGTAAAAACAAAATTGGAAAACTCTATATATTCAGCTCTAATATTTTGACCTTTAGTTGAGATCTTCAAATGTTTTTAATTTGACTTGTATTTTGTAACGTTCTTCGATCTTTTCTCACCACCACCCAAATTAAGAATTTGTCTCGTTAATAAAAATAATGAAAGAATGGTTTTAACTTAATATAAAGACAACAACTATACACAACTTCTAAAACAAATGAAATAATTATACATTTTACATTACATGTGAAAAAAAAAAAATTAGAATGACGAATTGTAGGAAATAATTGCAAATTGTAACTTGAAGCATATTATACATAACTAAGTATCAAATAAGAGATTTTATTAGAATTAAAGTGACGCCACACACACAAAATCTTAAACCTCCAACGAGAGATAGAGAGAGCTCATGAGCAAGATAGCCACGTCATCGTTGTCCGTGTTTGCAAGAGAGTGGAAGAGAGTCGGAGGAAGGACGGAGGAGACGGCGGATCTCAGATCGGAGCTTAAAGAAGACGTGAGTGAAGCTATTCCCCAATGATGATTTGGTTTCGTTTTTGTTAACCTCAAGATCTGTGAAAAAGATTGGTAACTTCTTTAAAAGAATCCATGACCAACTCCATTCCCACCATTCTTTCACGGAGCTCCCTCCTTGCTCTCCCATGTCAGAGACCGACTTGGATCTTGAGACGGTGGAAGGTTGGTTACGTGAGAGGTTTAGAGAAAGAGAAGAGAGACGACGGCGGAGAAGCCCTGGCTCATCTGTGGTGGTGGAGGAGATAGGGAGAGAAGTGGGTTTACGAATCTGAAGGGTTTTCATAATTGAAGAGCTCATGGCTTGCCGAGAGAGAGAGGAAGATGAAGAAGGAAGATCTTGAGAGATGTGGTTGCTTTAGAGAGAAAAAGTGAGGAAGGAAGATCTTGAGAGATGTGGTTGCTTTAGAGAGAAAAAGTGAGAAAGGTGAGAGAGAGATTGTGAACAAAGCTTTGACACAGACTGGTTTTATTCCCGTGAATGTTGTGGACCTCATTCATTTTTATTCCTTGCCAATAATTACATGCCAGTTCTTTTCTATGATTTGCCGCAAAGTTGGTATAGTGTGTAATTTGTGTTGAGTTGTATTATGTAAAAAAATATAGTTCGAAAACTTAAACAACCTTTAAGAGTATGGAATGATCGATGAGAAAATTTTTTTCCCCTCGTAGGCTTTTACTAATTGGTAATAATTAGATGAAGTATTTCCACTAACTGGATTATAATGCGTTAGAAGTATATAATCCAAATTTAAATTTAAATTGTCATACACTGACGATACTATAATACATACTACTAGCTATAATACAAATTCATATAATTTTTTTTTTTCTGGTTACATCCGAAAACAAACGTACATAACTAACATATAAATATATGAAAGAGATAAATAGATAAATATGAAAAGAGCAATAAAGTGTTGAAAATGTGGAATATGATGAGCTAGAAAGTCTCAATAATGGAATCAAATTGATGTATTAGAATCCAAAACTCAGGTAGTTTGAAACAATCAATATATCTTATATAAAAAATTCTAAAATCTAAAGAAGATAATTATAAAAAAACTAGATATATCTTATTAAATAAAAAAAATTTAAGAAAAAAATTATAAGGCAACTATAGGTATATATCTTATACAATTTTATATAAAAAAAATTTCTATCTAATAAAAAATTTATCTTCTTATTTCTTAAATAGAGTTTCTATTCATAATAGAAAAATTTAATATTTTTTTTTCTTAAACTTAATTTTATTTTAAAATATTAAAATTCGTCTGTCGGACGGGTCATAATCTAGTTCTTGTTTAATATAAACAGTCATTGACACTAATTGGACTTTGATAATAATCATGTCAATGGGCACCAAAGCTCTGAATGTTGGGCCGCAACCTTTTGGATTGATCTTTAATGGATGTTTAGTTGTGCCTAGTGATTGTTGTCGATATCGTGGGCCTACCCCAATAGTGGGACTTCAAGCCGGATTAGGGTTTTTCTTGCACATGCCTTAAACTCAACTAAAATAAAAATAAAAGAAAAAAACACATGTTTTGTCCAATCAACTTGCTGGTTTCTTCTTTCATTATGACATGGACAAGATTGTCAATAAAATACTATACTGCCATAGATTTGTGCTAGTTTAGGAAACATCCACTAAAATGTGGTAGATTTAGAAATAAATCTTTCTAGTCCACTAAAATGTGCTAGATTTGGAGATAAATCTTTTTTTCTTTGCCAACTAATAAAGAAATCTTTTCAATCCCCTAAAATGTAGTAGATTTGGAAAAATATTTTTTTCAAAAGTGGAATAATAGATAAAATTCCTTTATTCTAAATAGATATTTCCACACAAATTTTTTTACTATATGTTGATTATATTGTATATTGTAGTATTATTTAATTAAAATTTTGATATATGTTTCTCCTTATGTCAATCTTTTTCTTTTTATATATGTTAAATTTAAGAAATAAATCACAAACTATTAAAAGTATTTTACTTCATCATATATTTTCCTAAATCTTGACATATGTGATAAAATACTAAAATCACTTTTTAATTTACCCAATAACACAAAGAGGAATTTAATAAGAACTATAAAGATAAAAAATATAAATGTAAAAAATGATTGAATATATTTTTCCATTAGTTAAAAAGTTTGGTATTCTTTTGGGTTTTTATATTAAAATTAAATTTGACATTTTTTGTAAAAATTGTTAAATTGAAAGGAAAAAAAGCATCTTCTAAGGAAAAATATATGCAAAAAATAAATAGATAAATTACTCCCTTTAGAGTGTCTACTATAGTTATAATATAGAAGAAATATTTATTCCAATTCAATTTCAGGTAACCAAAGTTTCATTTTTAAATGGATTTTCTCAGATATATTAATCAATTTTTTTTAGAACATTTACGCACAAAAAAGTCATTTACTTTTTATTTTTAAATAATAATTTAAGATAGATTTTTTACTATATAGATAACCATATTAAAGTTCAACTAACTGATAACATAAGATAATTTGAAAAAACGCGCGTATATCATTATTGGCCAAAAGTTTGAAATAGCGCGCGCATTACGTAGATCATTTGATTTTAGTAAAAATAGTATTTTCAATATTTCTTCTAAATAAAAACTAATGCTAAGCATTCTTAAACCACAACTCTCAATCTATGATATTTTTGTTCAAAACCGAAAGATAAATAGTTATAAGAAAAGCTAAACAGATGTCAAAGCGGTTTAATGAGTGAAACTAACATCAAAGAAAAAAATCTAGACTTTCAGAAGCATATAAATAGATAACTCTCTAAAGCTTTTAAGCCACTGGTTTATTCATAAACACCATCTTCTCTCTATATATCTCGTGTTTTGAATATCACCACATTTTCATAATGGATTCAGCAAAAAAATCAGATTTCTTTTCAAATTTACATGATTCTCTTTTAGTGTTTATAATATCAATGTTACCTTTCAAAGATTTGGTACGAACAAGTGTTCTTTCTAGGCGTTGGAGGTATCTTTGTCGTGAAACGACAAGCCTCGTTTTCAATGAATCTGATTTTGTGAATTTATCTGTTTTTGATAGAGAAATGGTAGAACCTGATAGGGTTTTCTTTGTACGTGTTATGCGTGAGTGGGTCTCAAGATTTACTGGTAAAGTTATTGAAAATTTTGAGATTCATCTCTCCCAGCCGATGGGTTTCGCAGGAGATATAATGTCTCTCACTGAATTCGCCACCTCCCGACAAGTCAAGAACTTAGTTCTTGATTTCTCAGATCCTGTCCAAAGAAACTTAAGTCAAGCCCAACAGACTATAAGAGATTGTCTACTCAGATGCAGATATCCTCAAAAGAACGATTTAGATGTTTCTCATCTCTTTTTCAATCTTTTATATGTTAGAACTTTAACGGTCTGCTCCTTTTTCCTTCAGGTAAATTAGTTTTCACTCTTTTAGCTATCTAACATTCATTACCTACATTCAAATTTCACACCTTCTGTCATGTAATATAAATCAAGTTCACTATACCATTCATTATATTTTTTCTTTGATTTTTGAAGAGTATATTCTTTAGTAGTATTTCATTTTCTTACCGTCATTTTAACATCTTTTTATTTATTGGAAGTAGGTCCTCCAAGATTGTGACGATCCTATGGCTTTGCACGATTCGATGAAAACTCGACATTTGGTGATGAAAACAAATATGCATGCAAATGACTTCGTGGGAATTAGTATCTTTCTCAATAGTTGTCCGGAACTTGAATCTCTCACGTTTGATTTGGTTACTACTAGTCGTTTCGTGGTAAGTTATTGATTTTTTTTTTAATCTGTAACGTTTTTAACGTTGATGAAGTCAATAAACATCATTACAATATACATCTATCTAGGTCATTCTATTTGGCAAAACGCTTAACTTTAATTGAATTTTGCAGAGAGCTCGATCGCCTTTAGTGATAGATCCAGTAAGTCATTGGCTCACTAGTAAAGCTTACGAGTGCTTGGAAAAAACGCTAAAGGTTGTGAAGGTAAAGAAATTCCGTGGAAGCTCGAACGAATTACATATGCTTCAATACTTGATTCGTACCGGGTGTGTGATGGAACGAGTTGACCTTTACGAGGCAAATGGATTGAACCATAATCAAAAGAGGTGGGTACTAGCTGCGGTTGAGGAGGTTCAGCAGAATTTCAAGAGAGCTTCGAGGCATTTACGAATTACTCTACACAATGCTTGATTCAAGCATCTTCTAGATTTTCTAGTGAAAAATAACTCATTGAATGATCTTTTCAAATTTGCTTTATTTCATATTGAGGGTGCGTATGTTTCATTTGGATTAGTTGTTTCAGTTGTTTAAGTTTATTCTTTTCCTATTTGGCTTTGTAAGAAAAATAATTGATAATTAAGAAATGAAAACTAGTTTGCTTAGTTTGGAGACTTGTCCTAGTTTTGATTTGGTTTGGTTTTTAAAATTTAAATATATGTTTGAAAATCAATATTTACAATATGATATTAAGTAAAAATGAAATCTAATGCATTTTTATTTTGTTTTTAATTTTTCTAATTTGATTCAATCTGTTTTTGTCTTTACGAAATGTTTTTATTTTATTCCATTTATAGTTTTGTTTGCTTATATAAATTTGAATCTGAGATATTGTACCTAAATGGGTTGATTTATTTCCATTTGTACATGTATATATTATTGATTTATTTCCATTTGTACATGTATATATTACAAAATTTTTTGAATTCAGTATATTTTTTCGAAGGTCCTTGTATTGTCCTAAGTGTACAAAGAGTCAGTTCTTAATTTTAAGTTTTTTTTTTCATTGTATTTTGTAGTTAATTTAATAGTCCATGGGCTAGAAGCCTAGAACATTTCCTTTGCAAAAATATAACTAACAATTACAATATTTTCTTGGTTTTACTACGAATTGATACTAGATAAATTAATAAAAAAAAAAAATTGGTCTTGAGTTGGACCAATGTAATATTTAGCATAATTCAAAAAGATGATATGATAATATTTTTTAAAAACAAATCTATGTAAATATATGTTCTCATGATCAATATCATAAATTAATAACTATATAAACCTTATAAAATATATATTTAAATATAAATATAGTAAATATGACTTTGTGTTGTTTGTTTTTTCTTGAATTTGCATTTTTATTCGAATTCCTTTCCAATAGTTTTATTATATCCAAAATTTTTGGTGTTATATTCTCAAATTACACCAAAAATTTTGGTGTTAATATTTATATATTCTATATAGAAAGAATACACTTATTTTTTTCCTTCTCCTACCGTTACAACATCATTTTCAGCTAGTGTTGCTTTCAAAAATAAAGTTAAAACCGACGTCTAGTTTTGTCATACTAAAATCTACTATTAATCTAACTTAATTTTTCATTAAAATAAGTGTTGCAGTACTTAATTGTTCTTGATTTGTTGTATATACTTTAAGAAAATTATTGGCTCAACAATTTAGAAATCAGTCTTTCACTTTGTTAATATGTCTAACGCATAAAAGTGA